AAAAAAAAAACAATTTTTTTTTTTTGTACAATAAAAGGAGGCATGGGCCTAACGTACGCTAAAACAGAACACGACGGGGGTAAGTCACCCCAATATCATATTCAAGCCACCTACGGACGGACGGTGGTGGGACATGAAAATGGTGCACCTTTAAGGATACGGACACCGCTAAAGAAGTCAGATGATCCGCAGTAAAATTCGCTTCTGGAAACACATGATCCAATTGCAACGGCCACTCGCGATCCCATAATTCTTGTATGGCCTGAACAAGACTATCATGGATCCCACCCACGTCCTCTCGCCCCATAACCATAGTAATCACGCTGTTATTGTCCATTTTCCGCCGCCACCTTCTGTATGCCTTAAGCCCATGCGATAGATAGCCCGTGAAAGAGAACCACAGTTCAGCTACGATAATGGAACAAACGCTTGCATTCTTCATAAATCTTCCGAGCCAACGGTCGTGGGAATCCCGAACCAACCCTCTCGCACATCCGCAACCCGTATTTGATGAAAACTCCCCATCCATGTTAACCTTAACCCGTTCCGGCGGCGGTAACGACCATCGAATCAAGCTAGTTTCATATTGTCGGGCGAGAGAGTCAAGTTTCATACAACCGGCGGCCGCTGATAAGCACCCCTTCATACGTCGCCTTATATCACTAATTTTAGCATCCACTCGCCACGAAATTTCAGAAAAATAGCTGCATTACGCCAAGACCAAATTTGCTAACACGCAATAGAGAAAGTGGACGGCCAATCATTGTCTGAAATGTCAGCTGATGGGTTCAAGTAAACCACAACCAGTCAGCGAGGTCTAACGTCATCGAGTGAAATTTTGAGTTTGTATTTAAACAGTAGTAATTGTTAAAGTTTGTGTGATGTAAAAGTAAGAGATAGATGACTGAAAGTGAATCGTAAATGAATAGTGAATTAAAATTGATGGGATGTGTGACGTTAATTGATTGTTATTATATAAATATTGAAGATGGTTTTGTTGAGTTGAATTTTGATTTAAAAAATTATCTAGTCAATCATCGGATAGATTTGTATCCAGGCCCTAAAGAACATGGATTAAGTGTTGCTTACCGCCTTTATATTTACATTTTTCCTACCAAAGAAATACATACAATGCTTGTATGTTGCATTAATGGTTTAATCGAGTTCAGAGTCGGTCGCGTGAACGTGAACTGAACCAAACATATCTGATTTTGGTACTTTGTAATAGTTCGATCTAGGAAAATTTGGACTTCGTTTTCATTGTTGATTATTCGTAACCAACGAAAATAAAATATAACGAAAAAATAAACTTGACAACGATAGTCTTAAATTGGGATCATAATTGTGTTATATTCTTAATTTGGGATTGTTGATATGGCTCATATATTGACAAAGGAAGGAGGCAGGTTGATGCCTGCGAGCGTAATGGAGCGAACGTAGCGAGGGAAGCGGAGCGACACTTAACTTCTTGGCTCTTGTGTTAAAAGCATCCAAAAAAAAAGTCAGTTTGTATTATAAGGTGTGTGTGAAGGAAAGGGATCAAAATGCATGGGAATTGAGATTAGAAGTTTTGATTCTGTTTTCTAATCACTGTCCCATCCCCATATATGTGTTGATAAGAATCCCAAGCTGGCTCCAACCACTTCTCAAGTACAAAGGAATGAAGGAATGTGTAAAATTGAAGGTTTTTACATTTTTATACAATTCATACTTTTCATACAATTCATACTTTTCAAATTAAATGATAATGTGTACTTTCTCACAATAAGGTAGATTGTTACATTGAAAAGCATGAATTTCATCCTAAAACTGAATTTTTGGTTGACTAGTATAATTATGTGATCTAAAATCTCATGTGAGCTGCCTAAGATAATTTGACTTTAAGTCCTATCAATTTACTTACTTTTATTAGACATAAAAATTAAATCAATGGGGGATAGCTGATGTTAGGGGTGTTATTTGAGCCACGTCAAGTCGAGCCGAACAGCTCATGTTTCAGCCCATGCCCGCCTAAGTAAACGAACGAGCTAAGCTCGAGTTTTCATGAGCTGAACGTAGCTATATTCGCGAACAACTTGATTCAAATAGCAGCTCTAGTTGAAGTCCTATTGGTGCATTGTATTCTCGAGTGCAATGCAATAACTTATAAGATACGATAAACGGACTAATTGTAGCCTCGATTGTTAAAAGTGTGTATAAATAATGGCTGACAAACTTATATGACCGAACACCATCATGTTTGGACATTAGACTCAATTAAGTCAATAAAATTTAGAGGGCGTTTGGATACAAATAAACTCATACGCATACTCAATATCTAACTCAACTTTATACATCACATCAACTTTAATTCACTATTCATCTACTCATAATTTTAACTATCTATTACTCTTTATCACATCTCATGTATTTTTACAGCAAATCAACTTTAATCGTGAATTTTTATGAATTGTTGTGCCAACAATTATATATAGAGAGAGATAGAGAGATTGTCGACATGTCTCAAGGGGCAATAACCTTTATGAATCAATCAAGAATGTATTATTGTAAGAGAATAATCCAAAGATATATGTGTCATTTTTATCAGCATTAATGAAGGAATTAACCATATAAAGTGTGGGCTTTAAGGTATGCTTTACGGTAGAACTTTATGTCGACATATATATATTCTCATGAAAGCATTTGTTCCCTCCATCCTTTGTGTGTTTTTGGTTGCATTGTGCTTTATTATGATTGAAGGAACCATTTATTAGTTCATAAAACTCCAAAATAATGAAACAATTCATCACAAACACAACACTTGCATTTAATTTAGTTGATAATAATTATTAACCCTCTAAAACAATGAAACAATATCATAAAGACAACACTTTCATTTTATTGTGCTGTAAGTAAATAGTAAATAGAAATCGTACTTATTTTCGAAAGATATGATATTAAGATTGTTGTGCGTGATTAGATGATTCTTTCCAGATAGAAGACAACTTAATCGTTAGGCAAGTCGATCCATCATTTTTTTTAAGAAGTAAATTAATGACTGGAACTTTTGAAAAAATCCTTTTGGATAAATGGACTTTTACATAAGTGCTCCCAAACCAGCACACAAGACAAACAGAAACAGGTTAGACTCCAATAGAGGGCACACTACTACAAAAAATCTCAGGTACATACATCTAAAAAACACCTGTCATTTAAAAAATTAAAAAAAAATAAAAAATAAAAAGAAGAAAAAAGAAAGGCCTTCAACAGCATTAAGCATAAAAGCGTACATTCTGAAGGCCACCATCCAAATAATGCACACAATGGTAGAACACATTTGCCCTACCGACACGCTTCATGAAGTTCCCCTACAAACTGCAATAAGCTTATATAATTCATGAAAACATTAATACATTATCAGCTTGTCTTTCACCGCTAAGAAGATTCTGGAAGTTAATAAGCCGGAAGAAGAAAAGCACTAAGAAACTGTCCGGCCATAGCAAACGGATGCTAAGTATAGATTCTTCGCCCACTTCTCCTGAAAAATAAAAAATAAAATGGAGTTCAGCACTTTCTAACAGTACAAGTTTTTTAACTTTTTTTGAAAAAAAAAAATTATATGTATTTTCCCACAAGGACATTGCAAAATGCAATCTCCATTTAGTTCACAAAAAAGCTTCTATCGAAAGTACAACTTGTACAATAAAACATATATGAAGACCATATACTTTGCAAATTCAAACAAAAGATGGTGTTCTTCCCCCATTAAATGGCTCAACAGTAGTTACAAAATCTAGCCATGAGGTTTGAATTAATCACAAATAAACCCCAAAGAAGTTCCAACATTAATATTATTTCGATGCTTTTTTAATACAGATTCTTATAAAATACAAGGCTTTGAAATAATTTTTTAACTTAAAAGGGGAAAAATACATGGACTCAAACCTCTGAGTTCTGTTGAAGAGATATCTCAAACCTCTAGGGGTAATTATGGAAAGATCCAATTATTATTATCCTTGTTACTAGTAAAACACTCGTGTAATACACAGGTTTTTGTTAAAAAAATATATTCTTAATTTTTAAAATTAATGAGAAAAAATTGTTTTGAAATTTAAATAGTTTCTACAAAATATCTATTATTGTATAATTTAGAATGACAATTGTTCTTGTGCGACTTACCAGTGTTATATTATAATGCTTTTTCTAACTTATATGAACTGATAAATAATTTTATTTTTCTAGTTGATATTAATATATAATTTTATGATCATTATGGAGATAAATATAATTTATTTATTTATTTTATACATATATGATTAATTTGCTATATTATATATGTAACACCAATAACAAATTCAAAAGTTACCAACTTTTAGAGTACATTTACAATTTAATGGTTATAATAAGAATTTACAATTCAATGGTTACAATAGGAATTGATATTAAATTGCAATTAATACATCTAAAATCTAAAATGACCATAAATAATCAACATATATAATCAACATATATATGGATGATCCGAAGATTATTTTTGGATTTGAAGTAAATTAAAATTGTTCCAAGCCAAATAAAGAAGCATGTAATTTGGCCACATAGGATCCTGAAGCATGCGAGCTTGCCACTTAGGCTCAACACATTCGGAAATTATAAGGGGATCTTAATATCAACCCACAAAAGAAAAAAAACTCAAGTTCACAATGCCAACAGCTAAAATATAACTAACCTTGACATGTGTACTGGGAAAGGCAGAAGTACGTAATGTCTCTTGTGCCTCGTCAACTGGTTTTCTTCTCGGCACACTCAAAACCAAAGCAGCCTGATCGTAAGTTGCTGCAGTGGCAGTTATACGGTACCCGTGGTCCCACCGTCTATGGATACCCTCACTTGGGTAAAGAAAATCGAGTTCTACTACCTATATGCAAAAAATTCGATTTGGAAATAAGTAAAAAGATCTATTTGGAAAAGAAGTGGATAATCCATTGTATGAGGGGAAAACAAAAAAAGAAAAGAAAAAAAAAAACCTGGTCAGAAAATGCGGTGGTACGGGACATGACAACAGCCCATCTCGACCCTGAAGTGGCCATAGAGGTCACGTAAAAACCTTCTCTCCATTTTTTGTTTATCCACTTGAATGGGAATGAATCGCTCACTTTGTAAGACTGTTGAGTGTACTGTGTGCCTGAAATGAATTTAACAGCCCAAAAAAAATAAAAATTAAATATATATATAAGTAAAAATTCAAGCTTTTAGTCTCAGAATTTACCTTTCGACATTACAACTAATGAACTACCATTTGCAGCTCCCCCAACAGCACTGATGTAATAATTCTTCTCCCACTGTTCCATTATCCATTCCTGCATCACATAAATAAAAAAGAAAACAAAAAATACTAAAAGAAATTAGCCGAAACATAAATGATTATTATATTATACACACATAAATTGGACATACTTTCATCAATCAATAAATCCAGTGTAGAAACTTGCTAAACCAATGAGCAAGAAGTACCTTGTGAAGAAAGAAAGGCGACAGCTCATACACTTGACTAGTGAAGCCAGTGCCGGCATCCATTATCAGTGCCCAAAGATTTTGACAAGACGCTACACAACTAATGAACAAACCATCTTCAGTTCCTTTATCGATGTGCTGGGAAAGTCTCGCATCCATCACATTATAGTGATATCTGACAGAGGAAATATATTACAATAGTTCTCAAATGCAAAATAAAGTTGAAGGGTTCAAAAAAAAAAAAACCCTTATACCTTTGTTTCATTGGTTTTCGAGCATTATAAATGCTAATCCATTGGGTTGCAGGCATTCCCATCCTGACCTTCTTCTTAGGTTGTTCATCGTCCTCATCCTCAAGCATTAGGCGTCCTCTTTTGTGACCAACCTGATAGATAAGCTTCATTTTCAAAACCAAAAATTAGAAATGCAGCTAAAGTTTAGCTTTACAAAGACCCACATTAGAGCTGCAGCAAATGATTAATCAGAATTAACTCTTAAAGTACCTTCTGTGCACCCTCGGTATTGATGGGCCTGATATTTGGATTTGGTCCAACTATCCCATCAAAGAAGGAGATATACTTAGCATAATTAGGCTCCTCGTCAAACTTCAGATTCACCACGTGTTCAACAAAAGACTTGAAAGGTTGTGGGCAAAAGCAACAAAGTGCCTCGGGTGATGTTGCCATTTTCTTCTTGCAGACAAGAAATCCTTTATTCTCACCCTATGCCAAAAAGTAAGAGAAAGGAAAAGGAAAAAGAAAAAAGGAATGTGGAATCATATTACAAGGTGACTAAAAAAGGAAGCAAATTGAAAAACATAAAAATAAAAAAACAGATAAAGATTAAATAAGATGCCCATAATAACTCTAAAAATTAGCATGCAGAATTAAAGTTATTATTGAACTCTGCAATTAAAACACAAACCTGGTATCCCTGCCAAGGCAAACGTCCGCGCAAAAGAAAAATAAGCGTATAAGCAAGGGATTCTAAATCATCTCTCCTGCTGCCAGTTCTGCCCAAATGAGCATGCACACTGGCATAACGAACAGTTCCCCTGAGAATTAAATTTTACAAATTCACCAGACGAGTGAGTAAATGTCCAGAGAGATGATGAAATAAGAAGTAACAGCAGAATAGATTTTGTGTATACCAATGCAACTGTACCTGAAAACATCTGGTCGTTGATCATAGTCAACATGCAGCCCGGTAGTGCCATCTCTCCATCTCGTAGCTAATTTATGCAAGTAGAAAATAGGAATTGGAAATATTTTGAGAATTGGGATGCAAGAAAAAAATTGTACTAAGAAATAATGCAAGAATGACATACCTAGACCAAGATCAACCAAGTACAACTTCTTCTCGTCAGGGGACCCTGGCGAGCCGAGCAAGAAATTCTCAGGCTTCACGTCCCCATGAACATACCTGCCATTTTGGAACATACTTTGAGTAGTATGGTATAAAATTTCTAAATATCCATAAAAAGCACAAATTTGTCCATGGCAAATGGAGCTGGAAAAGTCATTGTTGACAATTCTCCTGGTATAGTGCTAATAATGGACTAGATCAAAATGACTCAATTAAATTATAGTGCTTCTTCTATTAGTGAATATTAGTGAAGTTTCTAGAAAAAAATATATCAAACGACGCAATGCACCTTGGGTCGCTACAGAAACAGCCTCCTTGTAAATTACAAGGGTGGTCTGCGTACAACTGACCCCCAGACCCCAACCGGTCCCAACCATAACCAGTTGATATACTGGGTATGTTGTTGTTGTATCCATAAAAAGCACAAATAAGGTAAACCCTTGAAAATATCAACTCAGTTATGCTTAGCGCTCAATGAACAAATAATTCCACCTTAAATTCCCATCATCAATCTTTCCCTCTACCCACATTTCGAGAAGAACAAGCATCCAACCAAATATTCACATTCATAAATAGACATCACCATGAAATTACATTTGTGCAAAACGAATCTTCATCCAAACAAGCCTAGTAGATATATAATAGCATATCATGACTGCAAAAGTATAATACTGAGCCAAGACAAAAAGATATGAATCAACTAACAATTGAACAAAAAAAATCTGTGTAATCAAAAGAACTTTTTGAAGTAAGCCAGGTGGATATGTATGTAGATTTGGTTTCGCATTGGGAAACAGAGTGATTGTTCTCAAAGATGGCAGAGTTTTTCAGGAATTGGGCTAACAAGGAAACAAAACTAAAGAACAATAGAGCAAACAGAAAAAACTTACCCTCTTGAGTGCATTTTCTCTAATATAGAAATTGCTTCAATTGCAATGCAAGCCACCATTTCAACAGACATCCTGATTTTCGACGATACAGAAATTTAATCAAATAACAGAAAACTTAAAATTAAAAGATGTTACTGTCAACAGACATCCCAATCTTCAAATATTAAAGAACTTAAAAGTAACATAAATCTTCAGATTGAGAAACTCACGAGTGGGCATTATTATTCCAAACATCCCACAAGCTTGGTCCAAGCATATCCATGACCTGTGAAATTCCGGGGCCCACTTAGTAACTTAATTCTAGAGAAATACAAAATCATAAATGAAGCTAGAGAGACAAGATAATTAAAAAGTACCATAACGTAATAATCGCCTTGTCGGCCTTTATAGTGCACTCGCGGTACACCATGACTTCCTCCCAGAGTGCTAAAAAATAACAATACAGGAAAGAAGATATGAGCAATCAAGAATCAGCCGAGTGCAATCACAAATTAATTAGTCCAAGTAAAGCAGAAAAGTTCATAAAACTTACTTATAAACTTGCCACTCGTAAGGTGGACCATAATTACAACCCTTGCTATTACGATGTTCAAATTTTAGGGCCACCTATCAAGGATCAAACAGAAGTGTCTCAGTTTGACAAAATAGAGTTAGATCATGGATTCACACTACAAAGTAGAATACACACCTCAAACGCTCCAGGACCCGTTCTTTCATTAATGCTACTGCCAGTGAGACGGCGACCAACATACACTTGTCCGAAACCTCCCTTGCCCAGTTTCCTATCAATTTTGTACATTGGTGAACCACCAACTTGCACCTTTAACAACAGAAAAACCATGAGAATTGAAGTTAATCACTATTCAAAAATCGCAGTACATCCAGACACATTCTCCTGTAGTTGTTGACTTGAAAATTTAATATACTTATTATTTGGTAATGTGGGTTAATCAGAGTATCATACCGAATATCTTAAATTTTTTATATATTTATTATATGGTAATGTGCATTCTCAAAGTGTCATACCAGATTATCTACATATACACCTAATGGCTATGTGATCTAATGGAGCACAAAACAAACACATCAACGACGTAAAATTCATGCAGACTCTAGCCTTGATTACTGAATCAGGAAAAAGCAAATGATGAAACTTTTATAATATAAATTATGATTCGTGTGAACCAATAACATAAATGATCCAATCGGACAGAATTTGTCAATAAATCAAATAAAACTTCGTGACGAAAGATCACAGAACAAATTTTTGTACTTCAACTACGTAAAATTCAGGTAGATTCTAGGTTGACCACTAATTCATGAAAAAGCAAAGGGAGAATCTTTTATATACGAATTCAGAATTACGTGAATCCATGGCATAAATAATCCGATCGGACAGAATTTGTTGCATACTTACTAAAGTAACTAACTGCTATTCAAGGCCGTAACCCCAGGAAAAGGAGATCCTACACAAATTTTCACATACAATATATCCAAACAAGCACCACCGTGAAAACTTGAATGCAAAAAAATGCAAAAAATCACTCATTGTCAAGCAAACCCAAAATTACACAATTTTCCTCACAACACGAAAGCCTTTCAGTCTCCCATCCAATAACCATCGGAAACATGCATACAGATACTCCAGCACCAGTTCACCTCCATAAAAAGAATGCAAATAGAAGACCAAGATAACAAAAAAAAGGAAAAAAATAATACTTCCCACACAAACACATTATTCTCACCTTGTCCGGGAGAGGTGCTGCCAATTCATCATCACCGCCACCATTGGCCTTTGTCGGGCTTTTCCCACCTCCGCTGTCGTAATCATCCATTTCTTTCTCACCCTCCTCAGCTTCTACTCTCTCCTCAGAATCCTCCTTTCTCTCTCCTAATTCCTCAACGAAAATCTCCTCTGCCCCAGCTTCTTTGGGCACAGAAGCTACCTTTTCAGCAACAGGCCCTGCAAGAGCTGCAGCCACTGCCGTTCTCCTCCTTGTCCGCGTCGCTATTCCCGCGTTTTCCTCGACAGCCTGATTCACTTTACTCTTATCCCGATTCTGATTATTGTTATTATTATTATTTGCGTTTTTATCGTCGTTGTTTTGAAGCGTCTCCTGCTTTTCTCTCCGGCCGCGGCGCGCTCCGCCACGCGGTACTGGCATCGTTCATCCTCCAATTTTCATCCCTTAACCCTAAAATCCAAAAAAAAAAATACAGATTAGTACATGAATAAACAAAAAAAAAAAAATCATTTTGTGAACTCGGTCTGCAAATGAATTTCAGCTAAATTCACACAGAAAAGGAAAATGGAGAAAAAAAATACTCACCAGTAATCGAAACCCGATGAAACTAAACCAAGCGATGATCCTCGAAACGCACTGAATATAGAACAATAGAGCTGAAAAGTAGCACAATCGTTAGGGTTTTGAGTGAGGCCGACAAAAATAATCAATTTTCCATATCTTTTTTTGCTCTTTTTGATGGCGGTTTTGATGGTGAGAACAAAAGCTTTACCATGAAATCTGCAACAAGAAGACAGTGATCAGATTTGGGGGAGACGAAGAAGTGAGTGAATTCAGAACAAAAATCTAATTAGAAAAATAAAGAAAAATTATGAGCAATACGATAGTATACTATTCTGTGTATAGTTGTTGTCTGAGGACGATTTATGACCGTCGATTTGGAGCGGGGCAACGGTGGAGATAACGTTATATTTTGAGGACCTTCTGGAAATTTATGGGGGTGGGGGAAGGTTTGTGAAAATGACGGAAAAGGGCTCGGTTGTGGGTTTTATTACCTTATTGCCTCTGGACGACTAAGCGGGAATGTGTGACAAATGGGGGTTCTGTGGATTCGGTTAATCGGAACCGTTGATTTTGTAGAACGGACGGTGCGTTGTGACCACGTGGATCGTGCGGTGATTCATTAATAAATTGTGTAACGTTTCGACCTCTTTTCAAATTGCAGTGGTATGTACCACGAGACAAAGATATTAAATGAGTTATTTTCACAGTCTTGTAAATTTAAAAAGTAATAATATTATTATCTATTTTCTACTTCTTTTAATCAACGTTAACTCTAAAAAATTATTAAACCGTCCTTTAGTAAATATGTGTGGAGTTATGTGTTCGTGTGTTATGTGTTCGTGTCTCATACGTCACAAACATTATGAATAACATTACAAATTATTCATTCAAACTTTTATTCATTGCAAATATATTAAAATAGTTTATATAACAGTCATTAAATACCACTTTTAATATATTTATAAATAAAGAGTCCATAAAATTTTTGGTGTGTTCAAATTTAAATAATTTTTTATGGACTCAATTTTAAATCATCTAGACATTTGGTCAAACGCATAGGTGAGTTCAAATTTAAATCATTGGCATTTTGGTCGGTTGAAATTTAAATCATCTACCATGGTACTGTAATCTATTAATATATAATTAATATATAATAAAGATTAACATAATTCGCTTTTCGAAGCACTTTCCCACCAATTTCATTAATTATTGCCTAAAAATAGTAAATTGACAAGATTTCTATTTATTGGCATATCTTTTTGGGAAAAGTCCACTTTTGGTCCTTCATGTTTAGGGGGTATCCAGACAGAGTCTCTATTATTTTTTGGTGCCCAATTTTAGTCCATAAAATAAAAAAATGTAGTCCCTATTATGTTTTGGTGCCCAATTTTAGTCCTTAAAACAAAAAATATAGTCCCTATTACGTTTTGGTGCCCAATTTTAGTCCTTAAAACAAAAAAATATAGTCCCTATTATGTTTGGGTGTCAAATTTTAGTCCTTAAAACAAAAAATGTAGTCCCTTTTATGTTTTGTTGCCCAATTTTAGTCCTAAGAGTAAAAAATGTAGTCCCTATTATGTTTTGGTGCCCAATTTTAGTCCTCAAAACAAAAAAAAAATGCCTATTAACCTCTCAATTTATGTGAATTAACGGTCCATTTTTGTTAATAACATCAAAGTAGTTGTGTAAAATAATTTAAGACATCGCAAAGAGGTAATCAAATTTCAAAGGAACAAATTATTGACCTGATCATAAAAATCATGATACAGTCATTGCATATTTATTAATTATTAAAGTGTTTTTGAACCCGAGCACAACAGATGTGGTTTGCACAACCACAGCCGAGGCACTGGCCATGGACAAAATTGTCATTTACGCAAACCACCCCTCGAACGAGTTCTTCAAGCAGTTCCCCAACTGCCGGACATACGACGACCCAAGAGGCTTCGTCAGGGAAACGCGCAAGGCACTAGAAGATGAGCCGGACCCACTCACGGACGAGTTGATTGATTGTTGTGTGCAGGGTATGTAATATAAATATATAATTTTATTATTTAATATTTAATAATTAATAATTATGCAATAAATGTATCATGATTTTTATGATCAGATCAATAATTTGTTCCTTTGAAATTTGATTACATCTTTTCGATGTTTTAAATTATTTTACACAACTACTTTGATGTTATTAACAAAAGTGGACCGTTAATTCACAAAAATTGAGGTTAAGGGACTACATTTTTTTTTGTTTTTAGGACTAAAGTTGGGCACCAAAACATAATAGGGACTACATTTTTTTTTTATTTTTAGGACTAAAATTGGGCACCCAAACATAAAAGGGACTACATTTTTTGTTTTAAGGACTAAAATTGGGCACCAAAACATAATAGGGACTACATTTTTTGTTTTAAGGACTAAAATTGGGCACCAAAACATAATAGGGACTACACTTTTTTGTTTTAAGGACTAAAATTTGGCACCAAAAAATAATAGGGACTCAGTCTGGATACCCACTAAAATGGAGGACCAAAAGTGGACTTTTTCCTATTTTTTTTATCTAATTTTTTTTAGAAATACAATAAAAAATATAGAATCAAAATCAAAATAAATCTAAGAAATACACTTACCATACTTAATACACTTAATTTAAGAAAATACACTTACCATACATATTTTTTACAAATTTAAAATATAATATAAAACATTTAATTAATAATTGTCAATTAAAGATTCTTTTTAAGAATCAATCATATTTCTAATAATTTTTAGAAACAATTTATATATATATATAGTAATATTTACGTGAAAGTAACATATATGTTACTTATATGTTAACATATATGTTAATCCTATATAATAAGGATTAACATAAATCAAATTTAAAAACAATTTTCTGCCACTTTCATTGATTATCTCCTAAAATAGTAAATCAGCTTTTTCTATTTTTTTTATTAATAACATTAAATACTTTTATATTGGTAACCAATAAGGAATCAAAATTCTAATAAATCTCCTATTTTTCCAAACAATTTGGAAATCCGAATGCGAATAAATCATGATTTTAGAAATCGTGATTTCTAAACAATTTAGAAATCCGAATAAATCTCCAAGAAAAAATCATTATTTGTATATATCATGCTTTTAGAAATCTGTTCAAATTTTTATTTGCATGAATCTGAATCATAATTCATTCAACCTATTATTATATTATTAAATTGTGTAAAACCGCATGCTAAGATCTGTATATATCACATTTTCGCCAATTAGACTTTTTTCTTCATTATCGATTGAAAAGGAAAGCGAATTTTATATACCTTATCGGTTTTGATAATATAATGTTATAATCATTATAATTATTTATTTTAAAATATAGTGTTTGTCATTTATTTGATTTCAAAAGATGAAAAAAAAAACTCATAGTTTAGGTCTCTTTTTATTATGCATTTGCACAAATTAATTTAAAAACTCTAATAACGATTGACAACAAAATTTGTTATATATTGATCCAAACCAACTAATTAATAAAAGAGTCCATCAATCACGAAATTAAAAACTAACACCCGATCACTACCTTTCAAAGATTATGTTTTTTAGATAAACATTTATTTATATTGTCATGACGATAGAGTGTCAATCTTAGAAATTTGATGATTTCAACTGCTATATTTCCAATAGTTTTTTTACCGTTGGAATATGCAAATTCCGTTGGAATTTTTATTTCCACCCTGTTGAAAAATTCACCGTTGGAATCGTCAAAATCCAACGGAAATTCCAATGGAAAATTCATTCAAACAGAATATTATTGTTGGAATTTCCGTTGAAATCAAATGAAAATTTCCAACGGAAATGATAGTATTGAAATATCCGTTGGAATTGTCCCTGGAATAATTTCTTTTGGAATAGATTTCCATTGGAATTATATCATTTTATTGTAGTGTGCCTAATAATCAAACTAATAATATTGTTTACAATTAGGTTTTTAATAACATATGGTTTTTTCATACCCATATAATTTATGAGCATTTTCTGCTCAAAACATTAATTACCTACTATAGATGGAAATAATATAAAATGATCTAAATAAAAAAAAAAAATCATTAATTTCATAATTTTCATATAACTCGATTTTCGGTTTGTGTTTGTTTTATTAAATTCTTGATTTTCTTTAATTACGTTGATAGTGGTTTTGTAGGCAAAGATTATGTAAATAATTATATGTAGCCGATTTTGGAACTCTTATTTATCAAATATTCTTTTTTATTTTAGCAGATTTATTAGAATCATTGATTTGGATTAGCATATATGTTACACACAAAAAAAAAACAATTTTATAGTAATATTTAAATTTAAATGACGTCAATTTTGGAATTCTCATTTGTGAGGATTCTTTTTTATTTTATCATATTTATTAGAACCAACAATTACAAAATATAAATTTATATTAATATTTAAATATATTTTTCATTGCAGCAGATTTTGAGAATGAACGATTTTATATGAGATATATGCAAATCTTCTTTTTTTAGATATACGTCAATTCACTTTATTGGTATTCCTTTTTGTCAATTTTGTTTAAAAGGAAATTTTCAAAATTTTTTAGAGTAAATCGATTTTTTGTTTTTGTATACACAAAATATCAATTTATTACAATATATATATATATATATATATATATATATATTGTATATATATAAATAAATTTACTACTTAAAAGTTGTCACACATATAATAGAAAGCTGTCCAATTAAAAATTGTTTAGTTTAAAAATATACTAGTACAACCCCCGTGTATTACACGGGCGCTTGTTAAAAAATTGTTCTTAAATTTTAAAATTAATGAGAAGACTATATTAAATT